TTTCTCCCTCATCATCACCACTGTGGCTAGGATATGTTAACTGCCTCGCCTGGTATACAGGAGGTCATGGGTTCGATCCCGACCCTGACGTCTGCTGCTGTATATTTGGAATTTGCGTCTCTCTCATAATCATCATCACGGTGGCTAGGAGATGTTAACAATCTCGCCCGCTATACATGAGGTTGTGGATTCGATCCCGACCCTGAACACCTGTATATTGGAGTTTGCGCGTGTCTCTCTCGCCGTGGTCGCATGGACTTTTCTCCTCCGATTTTTATCCCCCCCTCCCCCACCCACATTTAAATTCGGCGTGCGTTCAGAGTATGTCGCTGCTGCACATGTGTACGTGATGATCAGCCACTTTGTTGAACTATCATTTGAGGCCAAGTCGCTTCTGAAAAAATGCGAAGAATAGCGCAGTCGGCTGAAATAAAACGAATCGTTGTTTTACTTTAGCACAGAGCCGCCGTCGGGGGGGGGGGAGGTTATCATCGGGGTCTCCGTGACCCGGAATGTGGATCGGCTCGCTGCACCCTGACACTTGCGCATGAAATGTGAGGACAATTCGCATTCTCCATCGTTAACAATTCATCAGTGTTACATTTGAATCGATAAATGCATCGCAAGCCTATCACACTCCTCCCCTATAGGCGGGCGCTGGTGGTGGATACGCAGCTGCAGCAGCAGCCTCCATAGCGCTGCGTCACTGCAGCAGTAGCAGCAGCAGTAGCATCGAGGGTCGGTGGATCACCGCGCACACAGATGATGTCGTTGTGAAACTCCCTTCTACCCCGTGGGTGGGCGTCAAGGTGCCGCCGCACTGCCCTGGCTCGCCAGGAGAAGACGGCACAGAGAGTGGACTCATCGCCATCTGTTTCCATCTGTACGGGGATCGAGCGTTGCCCCCTCGCGCACGTGGGTTTCACTCCGGGTGCTCCGGTTCTCCTACGACGCGTGTAAAATAATAATAATAACCAATAATACTACTGGTAGGAACCTCCTGGTTACGCCAGCCCACAGGGGATTATTGTGTTCGTCGTACAGGGAGGGGCTGGGTGGGGAGGGTGGGGAGGGGCTGGGTGGGGAGGGTGGGGCTGGGTGGGGAGGGGAGGGTGGGGCTGGGTGGGGAGGGTGGGGAGGGGCTGGGTGGGGAGGGGAGGGTGGGGAGGGGCTGGGTGGGGGTGGGGCGGGTGGGGAGGGGAGGGTGGGGCTGGGTGGGGAGGGTGGGGAGGGGCTGGGTGGGGAGGGGAGGGTGGGGAGGGGCTGGGTGGGGAAGGTGGGGCTGGGTGGGGAGGGGAGGGTGGGGAGGGTGGGGCTGGGTGGGGCTGGGTGGGGGGTGGGAGGGGTGGGGCTGGGTGGGGAGGGGCTGGTCACCCCGTGGTGCCCTTATAAAACTCAACGTTTAACCTACTCACGCCGGCTTGTGCCCACCCTCACAGTCGGGCATATTTGCGGAATACACCACGCCGCCGTTGACCCTGGCCATTGACCGAGCAACCCAACGTTCCTACCAGCTCCCTCCGCAGGACAATGTGTGTATTACTTGTCATAAATTGGCCGAAAACATCTCAAAATAAAACACCGAGGTTCCACGCCTCGGCATAGGTGTCTTAGATAAAATAAGCAATATTTTTTTTCAATATATTTTTTATCGCATGACCATCGTCACCTGTTTACAGTGCCAGGGAATTGTAGCAGGCTGCATGCGCAGTACCCAACATTGCACAGGAGGGAGAGCGTTTTGCAAGCTCAATCCGTGGACTCGTGGGTTTTTTGTTAAACGCGCAAACTCAACTTTTTTTCATTTTACCACGTAAGGCCCCACAGAGCTCTTACTACGTTAGGTCTTTTTCAGAAGCGACCACCTGGTTACCACAAATGATAGCTCAACACAAGTGGATTATCACCACCGTGATGATATGAGAGAGAGAGAGACACTGCAAACTCCAAATATACAGCAGCAGGCGTCAGGGTAGGGATAGAACCCACGACCTCCTGTATACCAGGCGAGGTAGTTAACATCTCCTAGCCACCGTGATGATGATGAGAGAGAGACACGCAAACTCCAAATATACAGCAGCAGCAGGCGTCAGGGTCGGGATCGAACCCACGACCTCCTGTATACCAGGCGAGGTAGTTAACATTTCGCCATGATAACCGTTTGCGCACGTTACGAACCGGTGATCGTTCCCAGCGGAATGTTAACGATCGATGCACCGATTGGCGGCGCTGCGATGGCTAGGAGATGTTAACTACCTCGCCTGGTATACAGGAGGTCGTGGGTTCGATCCCGACCCTGACGCCTGCTACTGCTGTATATTTGAAGTTTGCGGTGTCTCTCTCTCATCATCATCACGGTGGCTAGGAGATGTTAACTACCTCGCCTGGTATACAGCAGGTCGTGGGTTCAATCCCGACCCTGACGCCTGCTGCTGTATATTTGGAGTTTGCGTGTCTCTCTCATCATCATCATCACGGTGGCTAGGAGATGTTAACTACCTCGCCTGGTATACAGGAGGTTGTGGGTTCGATTCCGACCCTGACGCCTGCTGTATATTTGGAGTTTGCGTGTCTCTGATCATCATCACATTGGCTAGGAGATGTTAACAACCTCGCCTGGTATACAGGAGGTCGTGGGTTCGATCCCGACCCTGACGCCTGCTTTATATTTGTAGTTTGCGTGTCTCTCTCTCATCATCACGGTGGCTAGGAGATGTTAACTACCTCGCCTGGTGTACAGGAGGTCGTGGGTTCGATCCCGACCCTGACGCCTGCTGCTGTATATTTGGAGTTTGCGTGTCTCTCTCTCCCCGTGGTCACTTGGATTTTTTCCCACGGTCCTCATGTTTGTACCTCCACATTTAGCATCAACATGCGTTTAGAGTGTTTGGCTGCGATACATATTCACATGATAAGCCACTTCGTAGAGCTATTATTCGTGGCCAGGTCGCTCCGTGGACCTTACCTGGTAAAATAAAAAGTTTAGTTTAGACTCAGACTTAAATGAGTAGCACCTGGTGTGGTGTGTAAACATTGTCAGTCGGGAGACAAAGGCGACCGGGCGTGGTGCTGGGCCACCCTCTCGTGTGCCGTGCCGGCCTTCGTAGGCGCTCGCTAAAACCACTTGCCCCAACACTCTGTCGAAGCTATACGGGGGGAGGGGGGTGCTTTGCATTTCGTAATGCAACAATCCAGCGCTGCTATTCGAAAAGAATTGGTCCATTGTGAGTCGGAATCGTCGACCAAGCTTAGCACGTGTTCCACATTTAAATGCCAATTGCAACAACAGCAGCAGCAGCAGCCATCGGCACCCCGCCACTGTAATTACTGGCAGGCATCCTCCACGCCCGCTTGGGGGCACCGGGTGCTGTGTTCGGCACACGGACAGCTGACACGGGGGGTGCCCCTTCGTACGCTTGTGACGCGATGCGGTGCGGTGCTTTGAGATGCTCTGACATGGTGGGGAATCGCCAAGCTCCCTATAAATAATATCTTTGGGTGACCTTCAAACGTAGGATCTGAAAATTAGGGATTATTATTACTTATTAATATTATCGCATTAAAACAAATTATTGTTTGTTTGGCTTTTATTTTGGTCCGAGTTGGTCCCATTTGAACATTCGCGTTGGGAGTGAACCCAGGGCGTGTTCATTGGGAATCGGTTATCACGGGATTCGTTTATCGCGAGCAGCAGCAGCGGCAGCGGCAGCAACAGCAGCAGCGGCAGCAGCAGCATCAGCAGCAGCAGCATCAGCAGCAACAGCAGCAGCAGCATCAGCAGCAGCATCAGCAGCAACAGCAGCAGCAGCATCAGCAGCAGCAGCATCAGCAGCAACAGCAGCATCAGCAGCAGCAGCAGCGGCAGTTCTGCGCCCAATGAATTACCGCGGTTATCTCTGCGTTTTAAACGACTCTCATTTTGGCCCTGCAGTTCGTAACGTATGCCGAACTATCAACAACACCCACACAGGAATGTAATAATAGCAGCAGCAGCAGCAGCAACAACAACAGGCTAAAGGCGCAGCCCTGCAATTGCTCGCTCGCGCCACTGCCGACGGAAGGAGTCATCCACCAGGGGCCGCTCTTTCTGAAGAACCCCTTGGAGGCCCATCGAGATGACAGGCGCCCTCTCTTCCACGTTGCCTCCTCGTGAGTCTTGCAAGGGGGGGGGAGCTACCCACGCTTTATCACATTTACATTCATTTACACTATGAGACATCTCCTTTACCAGTGGCAAAATATAGTAGTAGGTTTTTACCCTTTAAACTGGTACAAAACTGACACCTTTATACAAGGCATCATGTTTGCAATAACCACAACACAAGCAGTCAAAATGCAAACAAAAAGAAACAACTCTGATGATGATAATGATATGCACTGTCCATGAAGTTGATTGGTCCACACCCGAGACAGCTTTTCTTAGAGCCTAGTCTCCATTGGTGTTGGACCAGATGACGCCAAAAGGCGTACAACTCAAAAACAGCGCACTATCAGAGTATTGTTTGCATTTTGACTGCTTGTGTTGTGGTTATTGCAAACATGATGCCTTGTATAAAGGTGTCAGTTTTTGTACCAGTTTAAAGGGTAAAAACCTACTACCACATTTACATTGTTGAGCGCACAGAGGCATGTCGGGGAGGGGGGTGTTGATTTAAGAAACTCGCTTTTGTGACAAGTGCCGTTAGCGAGAAGCACCGATCGGTGAAGGCCGGCACGGCACACGAGGGGATGGGTGGCCAGCGCCACGCCCGGCCGCCTTTGTCTCCCGAGTGGCCATGTGTACACACTCCACCGGATACTCATTTGAGGCTGAGTCGACCTAGGCGATGCCCAGGACCGGTTCACATAATCGTCACTGGCGGTGTTGGTGGCCGTGAGCGGGAATGAATCGAACTCGAGCCGAAGGGTTCGTAGCGCAGCGTAGCGCTAACCGCTGCACCACCGCTCCCCGATATATATTGTGTGTGTGTGTGCGCACACGCGCTCGCATTGTGCCTCCAATCGCACGCGCGCTCTCCCACCCACCTCCGTGCAGCGTTCAGAGAAAGCCGAGAGAGAGAGAGCGCGCAGACTGAGAGCGTCGAGAGAAGACGAGAGACGGCACGAGAGAGAGAGACACGACACACAGAGAGACACGACACACAGAGAGACACGACAGAGACACGATAGACGAGACAGCACGAGAGAGAAAAAACACGACAGAGACGACAGGGTCAGGACGGAGAGACGCTGAGATCACGGAGGTGGTAGGGGGGGTGACGAACGCAGGCGACAGGCGAGACGCGGAATAGACCCTGCAGAGACGCAGTCGTAAACACGCGCAGGCGACACAGAGACACGGGAGACAAAGACGCAGAGACGCAGTGACGCACACCCAGAGAGAGAGACACGGGCAGATCGCAGGGACAAGGCGACACAGAGACGCAGAGACACAGAGACGCAGAGACACAGAGACGCAGAGACACAGATACACCGAGACACAGATACACAGAGACACAGATACACAGAGACACAGATACACAGAGACACAGAGACACAGAGACACAAAGACGCAGTGACGCACACACCCCGATACACAGAGACACAGAGACACAGATACACAGAGACACAGAGACACAGAGACACAAAGACGCAGTGACGCACACACCCCGATACACAGAGACACAGAGACACAGAGACACAAAGACGCAGTGACGCACACACCCCGATACACAGATACACAGAGACACAGATACACAAAGACACAGAGACGCAGTGACGCACAGAGAGAGAGAGACACGGGCAGACCGCAGGGACAAGGCGACACAGAGACACAGAGACGCAGATACACAGAGACGCAGAGACGGACCATTGAAGAGCCGCACACACAGACGGCGTTGACGTGCGTACACGCGTGGAGACGAGAAGAGACGGGGTTAGACCCGTAGACTCACCCAGCAGAGACCCATAGACTCACACAGAGACCCATAGACTCACCCAGCAGAGACCCATAGACTCACACAGAGACCCATAGACTCACACAGCAGAGACGCATACACTCACAGAGACCCATACACTCACACAGACCCATATACTCACACAGAGACCCATAGACTCACACAGCAGAGACGCATACACTCACAGAGACCCATACACTCACACAGACCCATAGACTCACACAGAGACCCATACACTCACACAGAGTCGCATCGACTCACATAGAGACCCATAGACTCACACAGAGACCCATAGACTCACACAGAGACCCATAGACTCGCATAGAGACCTATACACTCAAATCTAGATCCATAGACTCATACAGAGACCCATAGACTCACACAGAGACCCATAGACTCATACAGAGACCCATAGACTCACACAGACCCATCGACTCACATAGAGACCCATCGACTCACATAGAGACCCATAGACTCACACAGAGACCCATCGACTCACATAGAGACCCATCGACTCACATAGAGACGCATAGACTCACAGAGACCCATAGACTCACACAGACCCATAGACTCACAGAGACCCATCGACTCACATAGATACCCACAGACTCACACAGAGGATCCATAGTCAAGGGCACGCGGACCAGGGAAGCCATCCCAGATTGGTCTCCATCTCTGTTTAGAAATGGGATCAAATCCTCCTCCTCCTCCTCGTCATCGTCGTCGTCGTCCTCACCCTGGGGTCTCCCTCGTGATCCTTGTCGTCGTCTGCGCGGCGTTTCTCGGTGAGTGCCGGGCGAGCGGTGTGGTGTGGTGTAGTGTGGTGTGGTGTAGTGTGGTGTTGTGTGGTGCGGTCCGGTGTGGTGTGGTGCGTTGGTGTGGTGTAGTGTGGTGTGGGGCGGTGGTGTGGTGGTGTGGTGTGGAGCAGTGTGGTGGTGTGGTGGTGCGGTGTGTGGTGGTATGGTGGTGTGGTTTGGTTCAGTGTGGTGGTGCAGTGTGTGGTGGCGTGGTGGTGTGGTGGTGTGATGGTGTGGTATGGTGGTGTGGTGTGGTGTGTTGGTGTGGTGTGGTGGTGTGTTGGTGTGGTGTGATGTGGTGGTGTTGTGTGGTGTGGAGCAGTGTGGTGTGGTGGTGTGGTGTATAGTGTGATGGTGGTGTGGTGTGGTGGTGGTGTCAGCGGGGAGCTCGCGCTGCGACCCGAGTTGGATTCCCGCCCACGGCCGACAGCGCAGCGACGATTATCTGAAGCGGGTCCTGGGCCTCCGCTAGGTCGACTCAGCCTCAAATGAGTACCTTGTGCGGTGTGTAGAAACATCGCCACTGGGGAGACAAAGGCGGCCGGGCGTGGTGCTGGCCACCCACCCCCTCGTGTGCTACCGTGCCAGCCTTCATAGGTGCTGCTCGCTAACAGCACTTGCCCCTAAAGTCTGTTTAGGCTACACGGAGGATGTTTGTCCTTGGAGTGAGTGTGGTGATTATGGTGAGTGGGGTGAGTGGGGTGAGTGGGGTGAGAGTGGTGATTGGGGTGAGTGAGGTGAGCGGGGTGAGCGTGGTGAGTGAGGTGAGTGGGGTGAGTTGGGTGAGTGAGGTGAGTGGGGTGAGAGTGGTGAGTGGGGTGAGTCAGGTGAGTGGAGGTGAGCGGGGTGAGTTGGGTGAGTGGAGGTGAGTGGGGTGAGTTGGGTGAGAGTGGTGATTGGGGTGAGCGAGGTGAGTGAGGTGAGTGGGGTGAGTGTGGTGATTGGGGTGAGTGGGGTGAGTGAGGTGAGTGGGGTGAGAGTGGTGAGCGGGGTGAGTGCGGTGAGCGGGGTGAGAGTGGTGATTGGGTGAGAGTGGTGATTGGGGTGAGAGTGGTGAGCGGGGTGAGCGGGGTGAGTGGTGTGAGCTAGATGAGTGGAGGTGAGCAGAGTGAGCGGGGTGAGTGGGGTGAGTGGGCTGAGTGGGGTGAGTGGGGTGAGCGGGGTGAGTGGGGTGAGTGGGGTGAGCGGGGTGAGTGGGGTGAGCGGGGTGAGAGTGGTGAGCGGGGTGAGTGGGGTGAGAGTGGTGAGCGGGGTGAGCGGGGTGAGTGGTGTTAGCTAGGTGAGTGGAGGTGAACAGAGTGAGCGGGGTGAGTGGGGTGAGTGCGGTGAGCGGGGTGAGTGGGGTGAGTGCGGTGAGCGGGGTGAGTGGGGTGAGTGCGGTGAGCGGGGTGAGAGTGGTGAGCGGGGTGAGTGGGGTGAGTGAGGTGAGTGGGGTGAGTGGGGTGAGCGGGGTGAGTGGGGTGAGCGGGGTGAGTGAGGTGAGCGGGGTGAGAGTGGTGAGTGGTTGTGAGCGGGGTGAGCGTGGTGAGTGGGGTGAGCGGGGTGAGTGAGGTGAGTAGGGTGAGTGGGGTGAGCCAGGTGAGCGGGGTGAGCGGGGTGAGTGAGGTGAGTGAGGTGAGCGGGGTGAGCGGGGTGAGCGGGGTGAGTGGGGTGAGTGGGGTGAGTAAGGTGAGCGGGGTGAGTAAGGTGAGTGAGGTGAGTGGGGTGAGTGGGGTGAGCGGGGTGAGCGGGGTGAGTGGGATGAGTGGGGTGAGTGCGGTGAGTGGGGTGAGCGGTGTGAGCGGGGTGAGTGAGGTGAGTGCGGTCAGTGCGGTGAGTGGGGTGAGTGCGGTGAGCGGGGTCAGTGCGGTGAGTGCGGTGAGTGCGGGGTCAGTGCGGTGAGTGAGGTGAGTGCGGTGTGCAGTGCCTGTGGGTTTCCCTTTGTAAATACGCCACGCTTCCACGTCTGCGTCACACAAATAAACGCATTCCCGTGTCGCCTGTGACAGACGCGCGCAGCACGCTACCGATGGTCGTGAGCCCGGACCCGCTTTTGTCTCGCCGGTGTTGATGTTTTACGCACCGCGCAAGGGGTTCTGCTCATTTAAGGCTGAGTGGATCTGGCGAGAGGCCCAGGACCGCTTCAGATAATCGTCACAGACTCCCACAGATACCCGGCTCGCCGCTGCACCACCGCATCTGCGTCAGACGCAAAGACAAAGGCCCCCCGTATAGCCCAAACAGACCCTTTGGGTCAAGTGCTGTAAGCGAGCATCTATGAAGGTCGGCACTGCACACGAGGGGGGGGGGTGACCAGCACCACGCCCGGCCGCCTTCGTCTCGCTCGAGGCGATGTGTACACATCGCAGCAGGTATTAATTTGAGGCTGAGTCTCCCTAGGGGAGGCCCAGGACCAGTTCAGATAATCGTCACTGGCGTTGGCCGTGCATCGAACCCGGGTGACCGCTGCACCACCGCTCTTCCACATCTGCGTCACACGCACAGACAAAGATCCCCCTATAGCATCATCATAACACCATCATCATCGCATCGTCATCATCATCACATCATCCACATCATCATCACGCCATCATCACATCATCATCATCACCCCATCCACATCATCGTCTTCATCATCTGCATCATCATATGGTCATCACATCGTCATCATCAGCATCGCACCAACCACATCATCATAATACCATCCACATTATCATAACACCATCTACATCATCGTCTTCATCATCACATCATCCACATCATCGTCACGCCATCATCATCATAACACCATCCACATCATCATCACATCGTCATCATCACATAATCTCCATCATCGTCTTCATCATCTGCATCATCATATGATTATCACATCGCCATCATCATCACATCATCAGCATCGCACCAACCATATCATTATCACATCAAACATAATACCATCCTTATCATCACACCATCCACATCATATTCATCTGTATCACCATCATCATCACATCGCCATCACATCACCGCATCATCATTTTTTTCATCACATCATCGCATCATAAGCACATCGCCAATAACATGATCACATCGTCATTACATCACCATCTTCATTTCCAAAAGCATTATCCCCGTTGCACCGTCACCGTAAGATGCAGTGACAACACGAGGTATTAATTCATGCGCACATACAGCGTGGCACATACACGATGCGTGGAACATACACGATGCGTGGAACATACACTGTGGAGATGTTAACTACCTCGCCTGGTATACAGGAGGTCGTGGGTTCGTCGTGGGTTCAATCCCGACCCTGACGACTGCTGCTGTATATTTGGAGTTTGCGTGTCTCTCTCTCATCATCATCACGGTGGCTAGGGGATGTTAACTACCTCGCCTGGTATACAGGAGGTCGTGGGTTCGATCCCGACCCTGACGCCTGCTGCTGCAGTATATTTGGAGTTTGCGTCTCTCTCTCATCATCATCACGGTGGCTAGGAGATGTTAACTACCTCGCCTGGTATACAGGAGGTCGTGGGTTCGACCCCGACCCTGACGCCTGCTGCTGTATATTTGGAGCCTGCGTCTCTCTTTTTCTAGCGGGGGTCGCGTGTATTTTTCTCAGGGTTCTTCCGCTTTTCCCCTACCACGTTTACAAACGTGGCTGCCGATATACATTTCCACGTGATAAGCCACTTTCTTGAGCTTGCATTTTTGATAGCCGGGTTGCTTCCGAAAAATATCTCTACGGCTCAATCATCCTGACCTGGTAAAATACAAAAATAGTTTCATCTTCTTGGTTCTTTCGGTAAAGTCACGTAGAAGGGAAGTAATAAAATAATAAAAATAAAACATAATAAAATAATCAGGTGAATAATTATATTCTTAGGTTTTTTCGGTAAAGTCACGTAGGTAAAACATTAAAATTAATAAAAGTAAAATAAAATAAAAAATCACGACGTTTCGGAGGCAACACAAGCTTCCGTCTTCAGGTGGAATCGTCACAGCCACGACAGCTGTCGTGATTTTTATTTTATTTTACTTTTATTAATTTTAATGTTTTACCTACGTGACTTTACCGAAAAAACCTAAGAATATTAATCCTTGCAGTCACGAAAGCTTCAAATCTAGGTGAATAATTCTTCACCTGAGGACGGCTGCTTGCGTTGTGGCCTGAAACGTCGTGAGAATAATTTTATTATGTTTTATTTTTATTATTTTATTACTTCCCTTCTACGTGACTTTACCGAAAGAACCAAGAAGATGAATCCCTGCAGTCACGAAAGAAGCTTTAAATCGAAAAAAAATAGTTTCGTTTTGAGTGTACTCCTCTATTACATACAGTGCATTTATTTTTTCCTTCTTAGGCCACAAAGAGTTCAGAATCAAAATGTTTCTTCAGACTGGAGGAGGAAATCCGATCAGCTATATGAATCTTTTTTTTTATAGATGTCTAGTCAGGCCGGGTTGGCAAGTTACAACAGCAAAGAACACAAAAAACCCCGATAGGAGTGAAGAGTAAATTTCGATTTAAAGCTTCTTTCGTGACTGCAGGGATTCATTTTCTTGGTTCTTTCAGTAAAGTCACGTATAAGGGAGATAATAAAATAATAAAACATAATAAAATATTGTATTATTTTTCTATTATTGTATTATTTTATTATGTTTTATTTTTATTATTTTATTATCTCCCTTCTACGTGACTTTACCGAAAGAACCAAAAAGAAGAGTGAAAAGTATACGAGAGGTAGGCAGGTCACGAGAATTAGATAAATATAAAATATGTAAGTTCCAAACCTTTCACAAATGCGTAAATTCCCGCCGGTGAACTGAACACTGAAGTGGAATCTTGGGGCGAGGCAGCAAAAAAAACGACTCCGAAAACAGTCCCAGACCACACCAAGATCACAACAGCAGCACACAGTCAGTATAGTCCCCCGATACAATTGCACATTAAAATTGAACTTTCGATACACGAGTGAGCATAACAAGTCACATTTTGTGCAATTGCAGTTGTATCCAGCACCAAA